CTGGTTAATTGCACCTTAAATAACTATGCTTTCTGAAATTCTATAATTTTCTATGTTTGTTATTTTAAAAAAAATGGGTTAAATATGGGCACCGGCAGATAGAAAAATCAGTTGCAGAATTTTTTGAGTTCTCAAGCAAATCGGGAGATCAAAGTTCATAATCTCCATAGAGCATCTCAAAAGTGAAGAAACCCATCCATACTATTTTATTTCCACTCAACAATTAATCTCTTAGTTCAATGAAAACACAAATTCAAACTCATTCAAATAAAAATGTGAAATTCATCCAAATTAAGAACAAGTGAAGAATATGAATGTTAATTCATTTCTCGAGTGTTTCTTCAGTAACGAAAGAACGGACTTAAACTTTGAAAGATAACATATATATATATATATATATACACACACACACTCAAAGGACATATTGTAGTTACTTTCATAACTGGATTTGTTGCATCAATATGCAAATTCAACTAAGGCCCCACCTTTTAACCTTAAATTAAATAATTTTAACAATTAATTAGGTTTCGTTTAATATAATTATAAATTGTAATTTTGAGCTTTAAATTTTAATTTTTAAAAATTTAGAACCATATAATAAAATTAAGAAGTTTTGAGTATTAGTTTTAAAAATTTGTATCTAATAAGTTATCAATTTTAATTTTTAACTTTTAATTTTAATTATTTAACTTTTGAAACCTAAAATCAAAAATCAATAATTACAATCATACTCAACATAAACTAAAATTATCATGAATAGTATACAACAAATTCAATACAAAGATAGACTTTACTAATATTGGAGAGTACTTTCCAATATCTTAAGAGTTCTCTAACATGAATTTTGTTTGCCTATGATTGTAATAGTAACAAGAGAATATAGGTCCACGACCATAAGTTGATTAATTGGATAATGAGGACAGCATGGATACCACTTGAGACATTGTCATGTTGCATGGAAATCACTGGAAGGTCCAAGTGTGTCTGCGATTTCTTATCTACTTTTTATCATAGTTTTTCTTCTGTGAAACTGAAAGAAGGAAAAACAGAAGTGACAATGCGAACATCAGCAACAGTATACTTTGAGGAATCCAGAACAGGCTCCTGTTTGGCAGAGAGCTGAATGTATCGAAAAACAATTATCCACAAATAAGGCATACCAAGGAGAAGGAAGAGGTGCAAGCTAATAAAAATTAATTTACAGAAAAAACACTAATAAATTCAGAAATTGAAACCTTCTTGAGTGCTTCAGGCCTTCAGCCTCTTCTAATGCTTTTTGTGCCTCGTCTACCATCCCCTTCTCACCTAAACAACAATAGGAGAGCAAGAGAGACTATTAATAAAACACAGATAAGTACATCATGTATTCTTGAAAACTTTGTACAACACAATTCAATAAAACACAGATAAGTACAGTTTTCAAACAAATAAAATAGATTTCCAAATAACTAAAATCCAAATCCCAAGGAACCGTTTCTTAATACAACTGCCAGCCTTTTTCATAGATATCAATTAGAAAGACTATTGATTTTGGGCTAACATTATGGACAAAAAGCCATTTCATTCAAGAGCAAGTCTTCAGTTTATCGATTTATGAGTTTCATTATAATTTCATCTTTATCATTCAGAGATATTTGGGTAACTAAAATTTTTTAATAGCCTTTCTGTATATTTTAAATGAAACCACCCTAAAGGCATTGTTGATGTAAGGCACTGAGTGTTAATTGAAAAAACAGTAAAGCACTGAGTCTATTGACCATTCACAATTATTTTGGAAGGGCAGGGGAAACAAATTTTCTGACATTAACAATTTTTTTATAGGAAAAAAGGCAAAAGCACAAACAGGAAGAAACATAAATTGGCATAATAAATACCTCAGAAACAACTTACGGATTACTGCTATTCCATTTCTAGAAATTTAAAGACAATGGAGCATTAAAAAAATGTTATTTAAGACATCCTACCTAATAGATATCTATCATCAAGAACTCAATATGTTTTTCTCCTTGTTTTACATACATAAAAAACGGAGTTCAGTTAACCTGAGTCTTACCAAGATCCTCAGCTTTCTTCAGCTTCTCGTTTATCATTTCCTGGATCCGCGAATCAGGTGCAGGCACAGGCAGTGGTGCCAAAGATAACGGGTTTGGCAATGGTTGAGGCAAAGATGCCAGATCTTTCTTGAATGCATCCAAAAGCAGTGTTGACTATAACAATAAACAGAAACATCATAATATCAAGGGACTAAATGTTATACAGAAATCCTGATATGAATAAATCAATACTTTCAGAGACCCATTTCAAATCCTACGTCTAAAGAAGCTATCAAGTACCTGTTTGTCTGCTCCTTTAGTTCTAAGCTCTTCTACTTCTTCTAGAGCTTATATTTTAAGATATGTCTTGCCTTCCAGATCTGCAAATCAAAAAGAAATCATGTACACCCCAAAGCTAATCATAAAATTTACGCAATTCATCCACAATAAATATTAAGACAAAGGACAAAGAAAATATTATGCAACATTTAGCACTATAAACAAAGCACTTGTAAAAAGGCTTCAAAAATCAAACATGATATGGATTACTGGAAAGTCATCAAGTCAAGCAATGTAATGTTACAGATTTGATATAATCACTGAAACCAATCATAAATTAAACTCCCTAACAAGAGAAATTTCTCAAGAATTCTCAAAAACTCATTTACAAAGGCCATGACAAAAGCGAAAGTGTGACACATCATCACTTTGTCATGCTAATCTGCTATTTAAAGGCACCAAATGATGTGAACGGTTCACCATTCTTTAGTACCATTGTCCAGGTCCTCCAGAACATGCTAGGAGACATAGCCTTCGCCTGAATTCAACCATATTGATTTAATCTTAACCATCCAAACATATCAACCAGACAAATGGATATTCTGAGGCAGTCTCCTCACTCTAAAAATACTGATTGAATCATTTCATTATTCTTTTTATAACAAATTAAACACCTTAGAGTTGAAATAATGGGGAAAGCAGTCAAACTCCAACTATGGTTATCCCCCTGTAGCATAAAATCAAAATCTTAAAATTTATGAAATCTATTGAACCTACGAACAAAAACTTCACAACAATTGACAGCACCCTAAATCAATTAATTCAAAGAAGAATAACTGAGTTAGATCAAAGAAAACAAATCAGGTACTCATCATCAATTGGCAAGGTAGAAAATGCATCTTTGTTCCAATTCAAGAGTCACACCTCGTACATACATATAAACCTCAATAGAAAATACTAGCAACATGCCCGACCCCCACCCCCTCTTTTTATACATAACCTTCAAAAGGCAATTTGAAAATAAGGAATTCAAGCGTAAAAGTGAACTAAAGTCTCAAACTCAGCATCAAAAGTAGATAGATTTCAACAAAAATCAAAACATAAAAGCTTAACTACTAACATACGAAGCAAGATGCTTCTTATGTTACTTTAACTTTCAAAAAGAAAAAAAAAGGATGAATAAATAAAAATTTTCTCAAAAGAAAAAATCTTAGGTGATAACTTAGAGACGGCCCTGAAAAAAACAAAAAAAAGAGAAGCTAGTGCAAAAATATGATACCATATTGATCAACTTCTTTCAGTTTCTTCTTAATTTGCTTTGAAAGCTCTAGTACTTCTGGTGTCTGTAACATCAACATAGAAAATAAATAAATCTGTAAGTCCCAAGTGCAAGAAAGGTCAGACAGATAAAATTACGACTTATCCAAAACCTGAGTAACTTCAGAGATTGATATAGCAGTAGTGGCCTTTGCATCCTCATCTTCAAGATGCTTGAGAGCTCTACCAATTTTCCTATCACACTCAACAATGAGCCTGTCAATAGCATCTTCCAACTCTCTATCATAACTATCGATGCCTTTTGCCTTAGCTTCTTCCAATTTGGATATGAATCATTTAACAATTAACGAATCATAAAGAAAAGATTAAAAAAAATTAAGGAATCAATCAGGAGAATACCGTTAATTGGAAGAGTTCGTGAGGCCAAAGGCTAGATAAGTAGAGGCGGCACACATCGCGATCGTAGTACTTCCGATTCACCTCCCTTACGTCGCCAATACGGTACGCACCCATCAGCAGATCGAGCTGCTTCCGAAGTGTTACTGCACTTCCTAAAATGACTTGGTATTGATACTTACGGTTACAGAGTGGTCATGAATCTGAAAAGCCCAATGCTAATGGTTCTAAAAATTGACATTAAGGAGATTGCGGCTCACGATCACTTTCTTGTGAGATTTGGTAGTGAGTTGGGTCTATTATTTATTTATTTATGCTTCAATGTTCAATCTTCTCTACAGTCTACATATGTCTAATAAAAGGACATCTGTCTCAGTCTCTTGTATATGTAGTCATATTGGGAATCAGGATGTTTTCTTAATTAATTCCTTAGTTGCCACATTGTTTGGCACCCAAAATGTTACCTCATTTCCTAAAATTGATATATATATTTTTTGTCCATATTTACAAATTCATGTGCGACTTTAGACTTGTGTTATGGTGTTTAATTTATTCCATTACAGCAGTTCAGTTTGGCTTTATCACTATTACAGGCACAATATATTTGCTTCTCTTGTTACTCGTTTCGTATTCAATCTTGTCTTTTTACTTTTCTGAATTCTGTCAATTATCAAATACTAGTTGTAAAAGGCAATTTCCAAATTTTGATGTATTAGTAGTCTAAGAAGGTAACTTAAATTACTAAATAAATTAAGGAAAAAGTACCTATGACTTGTTATTAAGTATGTGTGTTTTATAAGTATAGTTCGCATAATTTTGTTTTGTTTTGCTTTGCTTTTAATTCTTTTTTTATCTTAAGTAGAGTTATGTTTTGTAGAATAAAAATATTGAGCAAAGTATTATACCCCGTGGCCATAAGCATGATTAAAAAAATGATTTTTTTTTTTTTTGTGAGAAGTAATAAAACAATGATAAAATTAGTTGACGTTTGCTAAACACCTACGCCTTAAAGCATGATTCGGGGCCCACGCAAGATTTATTAGCAATTTTTTTAAAACCTTAATTGAATATTCGTAATTGTTTATTTGTTTGCGATATACTTTTCAAAATTATTTGTTTGCGGTATACTTTTCAAAACTAATGAGTAAACTAGATAATAACATTCAAAACATAATATTTCATATTGTAAAATTTAAAGTTTAACAAATATATCTATAAGATATATGAAAGGTTAAGCATTTTTAAAATTAAATTTTAACTTTTATAAACTTTGTCTTTGTTTGTTCTTAAATTGATAAATTTGAAGATTTTACATATATAAAAACATCACTTTTTAAAATTTTCTCAATTAAAAATATTACTTTTTTATTAAACTAATTAAGATTATCACATTTCAAAAGTATTTAATAAAAAAATATCTAATCAATGATATTACCATTTTTAATTTTACTATTCAAAAATTAATTGAATGTCAATATTGACTTGGCAAGTGGATTTCGTCCGTGGGATCCACTAAATTACTGATGTGTAAAAGAATTGATAGGTGGATGCTGATTTGGGCAGTATAGAAGTCTTAATGAATAGTGCCGACACCTAAACATGTGGTATAGACGCTTAACTCTTGAAGAAAAATTAATTAAAATTAAGGTAAAATAAATTAGTAAACAAATCCTGAAAAAATTGGAGAAGTGTACAGAAACCTCTTAAAATAGCTTTTTAAAAGTTAAAACAATAATATTTTCACATCAATCTAAATATTAAAAATTATAGAGAATTCAAACTCTTATTTTGTTTTTCCTGATTGAATAAGAAAATTACACAACTTTAAAAAATAACTTATCACTATAAATCTTTTTGTTTGTTATTTTCATAATGTCGATGTAAATTTATTTATTTTATTTTTATTTTTTTTGTAAATAACAATAATATTATTAATTTAAGTACAATAAGTACTTAATTCTTATAATCTATCTCAAGATCCCTCTGTATTTTGTTTGCTGTTATATCTTATCATAAACTTGAATCATAATTTTTAATAGGAGTTTTTGTCCATTACTAAAGGCACAATTTTTATCCAAAGTTTATAGTGTGTTAATCACAGATTAAATCTCTTTCTTTCTAAATTTTTGATTATGCATTATAAGATATTTTTTTGCTACTTAACACAAAATTTCAAAGTGATAGGCATAATTTTTTTAAAAATTATTATATTTAATAAATTTATATAACGTACCTTATTGTGTTTAACTAATCTATATATTCAGTACCAGTTTATGATTTTTCTTTAATTTTATAATTTTTTTGTTAAAATGAAATAGAAGGAAAAATGATTTTCCAACATGGGTTGGGTGCTGATACCACCCTTTTCAGTGTTGACACTTATGCATATTGTCCAAATCAGCTCCAAGTCGGAACAACCACTCGTCAATTTTTGACAAATTTAATGGATCCCACAGACGAAATCCGTTTGTCAAGTTCGTATTGACACCCAATTAATCATTAAATAATAAAATTAAAAATGTGATGTTTTTACTTAAAATTTTTTTAAAGGTAATAATCTTAATTAATTAAATAAGAAAATGATATTTTTAATTAAAAATTTAAAAAAAAATGATATCTTTATATGTATAAAATCTCGATAAACTTACTTAGTTTGAGATTGGTAAAGAATAAGTAATGACAAAAAGGTGAAAATTTGATATCAAAGTTTAAATTTGTCATTAAATGAGTAGACATATAATATTACAAATTTTAAAAAATAAAAATAATTAATTATTAAATAATATAATATTAATTTTTAATACTTTAAATAATATAATTTATATTACATTATTAGTCCAAATTTTGATTCCACATGTCATTAATGGTAAAGAATACTTAAGCGGGAAGAGGAGTGAACCGAAAAATCCTTTTGGTTCTTCATATGGACCAGGCCAAAAATTCTAGGCCTAAATATTTGGTTGTTTTTGCAATCCACAAGTTCTCTCTTTTATCTGATGTAGGATGCATTAACTATAGTTAGGCCACACAGACACACCGCCTACATAGATGTTGTGGGGAAACTAGGCCAGTGGTAGCTCACAAGGAACGCACGACACGTATGTGTTGGGCTTAAACCTCAAACCCAAAGCTTAAGCTAGTAGTAGGATAGAGAATTAGATTCACATGTCACTCATTGATTGGTTTTAAACAACTTTGATAATTTTATCAAATGCATTATGTGGTTACTATTAAACAAAAAAAAATATCAGAATGTCTTTTTTTTTCTATATATATGAAAATTTTATTTATATATAAGTTTTATACATTATACTTAATATAAAATTTTGATTTTTTATTTTTTTATTTTTAATG